TAAGGAATTGTAATGTAGAGACGTTCCTATTACTATAATAAAGTTGTGGCATGATTGCCGAAAGGTTAAAAAAAAAATAATCAAACTAATTCTGCAACTTCATATAGCTAAAAATATTAAAAGTTCCTTTGACTAAGTTATTATTAAATGGAGACTAACTGGAAGAGTTTTTTGCATTATAACTAATAATAGTTCTAATATTAAAAAGTCAATCAGCTTAATAAATGATATTAGATGATCAGTATATTTTGCTTATATGTTATAGTTAAGCATACTAAAAGATCTTAAACCTGTAGCATAATTAATTAAACATACAAAAAATCTTATTCTTTTTTTTTTCAAAGTTCTAAACAAACTAAACAACTCAATGATACACAAGAAAAGTGTTGTTATACAACAATTTATCAAGTAATTAAAGATATATTAACAAGATTAAACTCTTTGTACTTAGTCTAAATTAGGCTTAAGGAATTACAAAAAGTAATAAATTATCTTATTCTTATACTGCTATTAGAATTTGAACAGTGTGACTAGCTCAACAGTGAATATTTAAAGTTAATAAACTTAACTGAAAATGAATAGAAATTATTAGATAGTCTTATTCTATTACTAAAATCATTTATAATACTACTACTATATTTTTTAGCTCTAATTATCTCATATTCAACTTTATTTATCTAACAATAAAGCTTCTTATTAAAAGATTTGTATTCTCTAATAGCTAAACTAAAGATGACTATACTGATTTATTATTTGATCTAGAAAACAAATAAGTGATCAAAGCTAATTTTTGCTAATAATGAAGATTTTTTTGAATCAGATATAGAGTATGAATTTGAATTACTAAGTATTTTAGAGCAACTTCAAAAACTATTATATATATTATAGAGACAAAAAAAATATTATAGAAAAGTATAAAATAATAATTCAAGGTTTAAAAATTATCATTTAATAGAACTACCTGTTACTAATATAGAGTTGAATAAGCTAGTTAAAGCTATGAGTTACTTTTCTCTTCAAGCGTATTATAAAGTACCTGATAAAATTAGACTTATCATATTATTTTTAGATTCACAAATAAAGAATTTGAAGTTTATTAATAATGAGAATTTAAAAATAACTACAATTAATATAATATGATAGCTTTGTTCAGAAAAAGAACATCACCAACTTTTAATTGAAAAAATTCTAAAAGATAATAGTTCTATTGAGTTTTTTAATATTTCAACTTCTAAACTCACAACTAATAATTTAATAGCAGATTTGTATAGTAATAAAGAATTAGATAGTATAAGTAAAGAGAGTGAGTTTGATTATTATATTCATGAATCTATTTAAAGAAAAAAGTATAACTCCTTGATATGATGATAAGATAATATAGACAAATATTCTATATTATCAAAACTAGCCTAGAAATTTCTATCAGTTCTAGCTATATCAGTCTCTTCTAAACATATATTTTCAGATATAACATTATATATTACTGTATTGTGCAGCTAACTCTATTTAGATATAGTCAAACAAATAATGTTTCTCAAATATTACAAGTAATATTTTTCTATTTTTAGGCTAAGTGAATTATAGAAAGTAATAGTTAATATAATAGATAAAAAAAATAGAATGTACCTAATCCAAAATCAATTCTATTAATCTTATACATAGTATAATTAATTAAAACTAATATAAATAATTGTAGTTTTAAATGTATAGTTTCAAAAAGAACTCTTTTCAATGATCACCCAAACCACACGCAGAGCAAACTTTTTATTTTAAAAACAGTAATAGAGCTAATATTTTAATAAATACATAGCAATATCGATAAAAAAAATAATGCAAGATGAGTTTCAAGAACTTAGTAGTACTTGTTCACTAGAAATTACAAGTAATACGACTTGGTTCTGGTGAGGAGTAACTAGAAGATATTTTTGAAGAAATATATTACTGGATTTATTTTTTAAAAGTTAGAAGACACTCAGTAAGTACCTTATAATAGCTGAGCTAGATTAGATATTAAAAACATTCTCTATTACAATGTAGTTCAAAAACTATATACCTCACTCCTTTTCAGTTGTCTCTTTTTTCAAAAAGTAAGAAAATCAGTTTCCTTCTTTAAATGATCAACATTATTTACTACTATTTTTAGAAAACTCCAATAACAACAACTACATAACAAACAAATATGTAGTTGTATTTTGTTTTGTCATATGTATTAGGTTCTGGAAAGTTTTAGACAAAACAATACAAGTACGAAAATAAAAGATACTAAGAATAGAAATTAGACAGAGAATTCAAGAGATATGTTCATGTTATTTAAACATAATATTTTTACACCTAGTTCAGATCAAAAAGCAAATTTTTTTTTTGTTTTATTTTCTTTTTTTCTTTATTTTGTTTTGCTCTATATTAGTTTTCTTTACCTGTAGTAGGTTTTTTCTAGTATAGATTTAGTTATAGATTGTGATTACTTAGGTCTATATAATTTTTATCTTTTTTTTATTTTGAAACTAGGTATTAACTTCTTTTAACTTAGTTTTGACTAGGTAAAGAGAGATCTAGGATCTTGATATATAGCTAGAAGTCACCTTTGTTAATCAAATTCTGGAATCTGTCATACAGACTAAGGTTTTTATGAGAAAATAAACTTCTCTAACAAACTACTACAGTGATGTAACATTCCACTTTGACACCGTTAGGAGTCTCCCTTCTATGTTTTATGTTACTTGAGATGTATTAAGAAAGCTACACCACTTGTAACAGTATATTTCTAATTGAAGAGTTATATATATATTTGACTAAAATATTTTTTTTTTTTATATAATTAATAGATATCAAAAAAACCTTTTTTTAACTCTTCAGTCTTAAATTAGTCTCATACAATACTATAGTTATCCTGTTTTTTTCTTTTTTTTTGTTTTTTCTATATCTTTAGAAGATTCATAATTTGTAGATGATTCATCATTTATGAGCAATTCATCATTCATAAACGATTCATCATTCATAGGTAATTCGTAATTTGTAAATAATTCATAATTCATAAGTAATTCATAATTACTAGTTAAGTCTCTATATCCTAAATAATATGTATTATCTTCATCTATATAATAATTAGACATAGTGAAACCTTTTATTTTGTTTTCTTGATTTAGATTAACCTTTTAAAATATAATTTATTATTATTTCTGATAGTAAATATTGTAACAAATCAAAGTAAAATCAGATTAAAATATAAATTTTTTTTTGGAAACATTTTTTAGAGTTAGAGGTTAAGGTTAAAAGCTAGTTTTAAAGTAAAGTTTATATCAAACAAGTATAAATAGGTTTTAGAATATTAAATAGAAGCATATATTTTATTTTAATCCATGATCTGCAACAAATATTATTATTTTGACTTAAAAAATCATATTTCTTTGTTCTTATACACTGCAACTTTTTTTTTTTGATGATATTAATAGTGATTAATAGTAGGTGAACTACACTTGGTGAACTACGGCTGGTAAACTACGGCTGGTGAACTACGGCTAATAGACTACTACTAGTAGGCTACAACTGGTAAAATACAACCAATAAACTATGATCAGTAAACTACAACTGACAGACAATAGACAGACAACGGCTAGATAATGACTAGAGCAGAGTTTTAAGACAAAAAACAAATGGTCTTGCTCATATTCGAATGAATAAAGAAAAATAGTGTAACTAAACAATTATTTATAGTCTAGCCTTTTAAATACTAATCAGGAATATGGGCTGGAATATGTATGTCCTGTATTAGACCTTTTTTTTAACATCGTAATGCATTAATCACATAAAAGTAGTGCATACACAAACTTTTACACATGAGTACGATACTATTACATATCATAAACTAGGTCAGGAACACGGAAATTATAAGATTTGTTTAGTGCGATCCTTGATAAACTGCATCTCAACGGACTTAAATCACATCAAATCACATCAAATCACAAATTCTGTGTTCCCGACTCAGGTCAATCGAATATTTGTTTATAACTGGATACTCGGGTCAATCGAATATTTATTCATATCTGTTTATTAACCGGATACCCGTCTATGATATTAAAAACCGGTTTTGCAAAACTATGATCCGATTAGAAAATTTTCGGTTCGATTAATAGGTTATACGGTTATCCGAATAGTAGGTTAGAACACTAGATATATCAGCTACCCCTGCAGGACCATGAAAGATCGACAATATGCACCAATCAGATGATCTACACTAATAAAACAATCGAATTTTTAAAGTAATAAAACTTACGTTAGGGTTAGGGTTATAACCGATGTTAGGGTTTTTTTCTATACTAAAATTTTGCGGAGAATTTTTTTTGTTAGTGCGCAGAAGGTGGTTTCATAGAGAGTCGATTGTTAGAAGAGATCTGATTGGTGCATCTGCGCCGATCTTTCATGGTCCTGCTGGGGTAGATATATCACACACCGCACGCGTGCGGGATATTTTAAAAACTACGCGTTATTTCGCGAAAATACGGTATGAATTTTTTTCAGACGATGAAGCACTTTCGATTACCATGCATATCTAATAATTTTTATTTTTTTTAATTATATCGGTATAAAACTTCTAGTTACAACAGTTAGCATATTTAAAATATAGGGTTCATGTGATTTCACCGGCAATAATTTCACCGAAAAATAAAATTGGCTAAATGTCGGTGAAACGACACAGTCGGTAAAATGAGTGTCGGTGAAATAATTGCCTCCCAAAATATATATAATTAATGGCAATATACTACATGTGAGGCAGATCGAAAAATAATTAAACACTAATTAATATTGCCATGCTCTTTGACATATTTTGCCTTAGCTATTTCAATTAATTCTCCCAATTCTCCACTTCGATCACACATTCCGCGAAAAACTGAGTCTGGTTTTTGTAAAAGAATATATGGATGATCGAACTCCATAACTGTTCCAGCGTCTATTAAAATTGAAAGTATAATTGACGAATAGACCCATAAATACAGAAGTTAATAGAAACTTAAATAAAACTAAATTATACCTTACCTAAAACTAGAATTTTGTCGTAATCTACAACAGTTCTTAAACGATGTGCAATACATAATAGTGTTGCATCACTAAACTCCTCACGTATAGTTTTTTGAATCATACTGTCTGTTTTGAAATCTACACTAGCCGTTGCTTCATCCATAATAATCAATTTAGATTTACGCACCAATGCTCTCGCAAGTGCAATCAACTGCCGTTGACCTTGACTGTAATTATTACCGTTCTCAGTAACGGGTGCATCAAGAGTCCATGTTACCTGATTTTGCGATTGTTCGTTTTGAGATAAATTATTATCACCAGTATCTGAACCTATAGTAGCATCACCTTCTATTAGATGAGCTCTTCGGAGTGCATTCCATAATTCTTCATCATCATGTTCGTCAAAAGAATCTAGATTACTCCTAATAAATTTATACCAATTGATAAAATAATGTTTTAAATATGACAAAATATGACCCAAGTACACTTAATAACATTTCGACAACAAGCGGGTGACCAAAGAATAAAAAATATTACCTCAAAGTTCCGCTGAATAACACTGGATCTTGAGGTATTATTGTAAGCCTACTCCTTAAATCAAAGAGACCAATAGTTGAAATGTCAATATTGTCAATAATCATTTGACCGGAAGTTGGCTCCATAAACCTGAAAAAAGATGTTGCCAATGTAGATTTTCCAGACCCTAAGAATACATGAAAAGTCATCTCGTTTAGAGCAATAATTTCATAAATATAACCACAATTGGCTAATAAAAAATGCATTAAGCTAAATATTAAACGTAAATTTATTTACCAGTTCTGCCTACAATTCCAACTTTTTCTGCAGGTCGAATATGGAATGAAACATCTTTTAATACTGGAGGGTCATCAGGTGAATATTGCATAACAAGATTTTTAACTTGAATATCCCCTTTTGTAGGCCACTCTGATGGTGGGCGATGACATTCAATAATCCTTGGTGGTTCTTCTTCTAATGTCAAATAATCGTAGATTCTCTCGACTATAAAATTCAACACATCAAATAATTAGAGTATGAAAAAAATTCCAATATAAATACTGTATCGAAATGTAAGAATAGAAACATAAGAACTCGCCTGAATTCATACTCATCTCCTGAAGAGCATACATACGAATAACCCAAATTACATGGCCAGTAAAATTTAATGCATTTACTAATGCAAAACCTGCCAAACCAGGGTCCATTCCCTTAGAAATATTAAATACAATAATAACACCGGTAAAAAACCCGACTAGGCCACCTGCGAAATCAACACGAGTGTGAAGCCACCGATTACATGCCCAATTAAATATGAACGGTCGATTATTGTTATCTACTAGACGTAACATTCTTTTCATCAATCGTTTTTCTGCACCAAACGCTCTGATGGTAGTTACACCTATTATAGTCTTTAATTGTTAAAAGAAGTAGATATAAGTAATGAGAAAGTGAATATATATTCATTTAAGCCAAATGAAGAAGTATTTACCTCGCCAAATGCCGCGTAGATCGGAGATCTACTCACGGACTCCAATCCTAAATAATTGTAGGTTAATGAACTGTCGTAACAAAAATGTAAATGATAAAGCGTGTATATGATCAAGTATTTTACGTTTTAAATCTCTGGATGTAGCAATATAATATGCTCCAATAAATATAAACATTATTGAAATGAAAATGCCGGCTATTAAGAACTGAGGTATTACACATGCAATGACAACAATCACCGATGCAGTAGCAAAACATGAATAAAGAAGGAACATGACAATGGGAGATAAGTTTTGATCAAGTGTTTCCATATCTTTAGCGAACCGGTTCAGTATCCTTCCTTTAAAGAGGTAATATCTTTAATTAGTATAAGAATTCAGTATAATTTAGGTAAAATAAAATATAAATAAATTACCTATTGGCGTTGTGTCATAAAATCTAAGTGTTGCTGACAGCACCTTATCCAGCATATCACTGTGTAATTTCCTAGACGCTCTTAAAGAACCAACGAACATATAATATGTCTTAAAGGATGATATTGTCGCGGATACCAATCCAATTATTAAATAAATCCAAAGATAATAGTCAACATTTACGGGTTCGTGAATCTTTTCCAATGTGTTTACGAACGACGAATTACTTATCGAAGCAGAATGAATAGTGGAGGGTGTTAAGATGGAAGGTAATGCAAAGGTTTCAGTAGTGCGGTATATATTATCTAGCGAAATAGAGGTGACACCCAAAGATATGATAGAATAGGTGGTCGCAGCAAATTGGAGGATTTGACCGCTGATATCTCTGTAAGCTTTGGTCCATTCTTGAATCCACCAATCTAAAATAATATTAACGGTTAGTAATATTAATAATGATTGACTAATCTTAAATGAAATGTTAAAATAATTAACCTTGCCCAACATTTATAGTTTGTGACAAAACAAGTAAAACAAGCACAAACAACCAATAACAAAATCCACCGGATGCTACTAAGTAAAGTTTGTAATATTTCCATTCAACTGCTCCTTCAACTCTAGTTTCCTCGGTCATCAGTTTTCCATCTCCTTCTTCAATATTTTTTTTGAGTTTTTGAGGTTCTGCATCCGTGACATCCTCAACAGAGACCCCTAATTCTTCATTTTCAAATGTTACTCCCTCCAACAGCCCTGTAGCTAAAATTTCTTTTACACTTCCTTCACCTGATATTTGACCGTCCTTCATAACTACTACTTTAGCAGCACCACGAAGACATAGTCCCACATGATGTGTAACAAGAATACGAGTACGGTTTTTCATCAAATCACCCATCAAACATTGTTCATATATATGTTTTGCAGTGTGTGAATCAACAGCTGTATAGTACAAAAAAAAACTAAGTTTCAAATAATAATATTATACATAATATTATATAATATTATAAATTTACCAGATAAGCAATCGTCTAAAATTATTATTTTGGCCTGAGAGTAAACAGCTCTAGCTAAAGCGACGCCTTTAATAAAAGCAACATAAATAATAACAAACCGATTAGCAATGTTAATCTCAAATTTTAAATTAGATATATAACCTCCTAGTTAATGCTTACGTTGTTTTTGACCACCACTAAGTGTTATTCCCTTTTCGCCAACTTCTGTTTTATCACCAAATTCAAGGATTTCCAAATCTCTATCAAGAGCGCAAATACTTAAAACCTTTGTATAAATTTCATTATTAAATGGAAGACCAAACAGAATATTATCTCGGATAGTAGCATTTTGGAGCCACGCTGAAAATTTTCTTTGTCAGTAATATAAAAAAACTTTTGACTATATCTATAATAAACCATAAAAGGAAGTGGAATTACCTGTTTGAGCAACATAAGCAACACCACTTGGTGCACCTCCCAATTCTGTCGAAGACCCGTTAGTTGTTCTAGGTAAGAACACCTGACCATCTAAACATTCCATTTCCCCTAGCAATGACATCAGTAAACTTGTTTTGCCACAACCTGTAGGACCGCAGATTATTGACAATTCATTAACAGGAAAAGATAAATTCAAATTTTTCAAAATGAACTTGTTCGACTGTTTTCGCGTGGTTAAGTCTGTGGATTTGGAAGTATCTTCTACGGAATTATCTACATCTGGCCATTGTAAGGTGGCGTTCTTAAATCCAATATAGGGATCACCAATGCTTGGGACTGAAATTTTACGATCAAGCTCCGGTTCGTTCAAAAATTTTTCAATACGAGAAATTGAAATACGGGCTAAAATACATTATAAGAGTTTTATGTACTTCGTTATATCTAAAGGTTTGGTGAAATCTAATAAAAGATAATAATCAGAGCATACCTTGAATAATCGAAGTGAGAATATAAGGCATTTCATCAAGGGCATTACGAAGATTATTAAGTAGCGCAAGGGCGGTGAATGCGACAGAAGCAGTTAAATCCTTTTAAAAAATTTATTAAGAATTAATACAACTTAAATAAGACAATTGACAAGACAAAAACTGATATTTACATGGCCAAATATTTTTGTATAAGTAAGGAACACAGACAGCATTAGTAGAAGAGGTAAACACGTCCAAAGACTACTCATATAAACCCATTCCATCAATCGACTTTTGATTTCCTTTAACTCATGATCACGAGCACTCATAACTTTTGTGCGAAATTGATCTTCCCATGCAAAAAATTTAATGACACGGATGGCCTGTAGCATCTGTTAATTGAACAATCTACAGGTTAATTAGTGGCGAAAAATTAAAATGTCAAAATCGAAAAGAATGATATAATTATAACCTCGTTTATCACGCCCATTCTCTTGTCAGTTGCAGCCATAAGACGTTTTTGAATAGCTTGAAACCTCTAAAGTATAATTACAAACCCATTAGCAAATTAGTAATAAATGAGATTATAAAATATAGAGTAATATACCTGATTAATTAAAGCTGGCACTGGATATGTTAAAATTATAACTAATACACCTGCAAGAACTGATACACCAAGCAAAGCATATAACAACAAGAGGGAAACAATGATCTGTATAGGGTAACAATATACTAAAAGAACGATAATATCAAGGTTATTTACATCGTAAACCAGAGTATATGGAACATTTACGGAGCTTACAGTAAAAAATGTATGCCGCGAATTCTGAAATTTTTTGGGCGTCAACAGCCATAAGATTAGTAATCTTTCCGGTTTTATTTTTAGATTCATCATCATCAACAACACCAGACGTATCTTTTCGAGATAGAGACTTTTGATATACTTCACCAATGATTATTGCCTACAATAATAAACAGGTAAAAAATTAGAGTAGTGGTTGAAAAAACTTAAAGTGCCTGCAATATAACCAAATAGTACACAACCAATATTTTTACGAAAGTCAAACATACTTGAAATTTTACACCTAGATGACGACCAATATATAATGACTGTTGGAAGCACAAACTTGGCACTACAACACCCAAAAATAACCCAAAGGCATATAAATAAGCCGTCGTATGCGACCCTTCAGGATAGTTTTGAATATATAATAACAATTGTTGTAGAAAATAGGGAGGAACAAAAGAGGTAATCAGAGACCAAAGCATTGAATAAACGAACTGAATAAGAAGCTCTTTCCGGGAGTTGAATAATAGTGATTTGAAGATAGAAGATTTTTTAAAAGAATTATAGGTTTTTAATATGTTTTTAGCTTTAGCAAAACTAGGTAACTCAAAAACATCTTTATCATCAAGAGTAGATCGAAAGCCCTTGCTGATTAACGGATTGACCCATGAAAATGTAAATTCATCATAAAGAGAGCATTTCGTCTCGGGAGACAAGTATCTGCCCTAATGAATATGAAAGTTATATAGCCTGTGTAAGATCATATCAAAAAGAGTTCCCCAAAAAATCCATACCTCAGCATTTGGTTTTGAAAGCAATTTAGTATCATTTTTCGGTTCCGTGATTAAAATGCAAAGTAAGATGAATGAAAAGCCAAGAATCCACAAATTAAACGAATATTCCGCGAAATTTGTACCAAATTTCATATAAAGAGATTGAATATCTACTATATAAGAAACGAAAGAAAGAAAGTATAGTCCGTTCAAGTGTTCACGGATGTTAAGAACATTGCGCTGCTGTGAAACTATGTTAAACAACGATAACAATGTTGCATATATCTAAAATTATGAAGATTATTAAATTATAAATTGACGACAATTAAAATATTTTTAAACAATAAAAATACGCACCCATACGATGACTTCTAATATAGGAGTCACAAGCCAATAACTTCCGTGTTTATTTTCATGATAACCTTGACATCTTGCAACGACAAGGAAACTGAATAACAAACATATCACGATACTGATAATAAGCCGGGTACTATCGAAGATTCTAGTTTTAAGGGTTCGATCATTGACAATAGTTTCATCTGAATAGTCTGAATTATCATCTGAAACATCCAAATCTGTTTCGTTGTAATCGATCAATCCGGATCGTTCAATAGAGCCATAATTTGAATCGGACTGACTATTAAGTAAAGGTCTATAGTCTTGCCCTTTATGCCGCCTTAGCTTAAGATAAGCATTTATGAAAATACATAATGAAATAGTTGAATACAGTAATAAGATTCCAGCATCGATCACACTAATTTTTGTTCGAATAAAGTCAGATATACGCAGATAAAAGAAATAAATTTAAATCATTAAATAATTTACACTTCTCTAAAGCAATCAGTAAAACTATAATTTTCCCACGGCCCCTAAAATACACATATGGTGCAATAAAGTAAAGTTCAGAATAATTTTTTTTACTCTTGTTAAAAAATGAAAAGTTTTACGCTCATTACCCAAGGATCAGTGCCACAAATAGCCTCTGATATCGAAGTATTAACCATACGTAAAATATTACAAAGTAGTAAGGTTAAAAAAAATATATCAAGTTAGAGTTTGTAATAAAAACTTAAACGCCAAAGCGAAGGTTTTATGATAAATTTAATTATCATTAATGGAAAAAAACAGCAGGAAGGCGCAGACTAATTTATAGAATTATACCGATATACAGTATCTAATCAGACAAGGGTTAGGTCTATTTGGGTTAGCGTTAGTGTTTCTTTAATCGTTATATTTTAAAATTTTAAATTTTTAAATTTTTTAAATTTGCATCCCCGCCATTTTTTGTTAGGCGCAGGCATCGGAAAATTATGTTTATTTATAGGAATTTCACTATTTAGGTAGGATTGGGGCATGAAAAATTTTGGGGGGCATGCCAAAGATGGCATGCCTTTGTCTACGGGATGGATTTAATTGGTCACTATATAATCAATAGTGTACAAGAACATTGAATTTTGCACACTGGCGATAGCTATGTTGCTGTGCTTAAATTTTTAAGCGGTACAAGTTCTCAATTTCATACGTATAAAAACCCTTAAAGCACCTTATCAGCTATCTGCTATCTAATATTTAATCTGGTATCTTTCGTGATTTTCATTGGGTAATTGGCATATCGTTTATGCTGTGTCACAATAGATAATACCTCTTATCTGTTATTGAAAGTTTGGAATGTTTAGGTAGGGGCATGCCAAAGATGGTCTGCGAATTGACTTAATTAATTAATTGTCGCAGATGATCATGAAATCGGATGATGCTGAAATTTTTTAGTAGGCATTATAGATTTAAATAGGGACTCCAAAATTTCAGCATCACGATCATCCGCAGTGATATGTCAACTGCGATAGTCAAAGCAGAGCAGGGACGTGGGGATTTTGTGATTTGCTGTGATCGAAGCAAATCACAAAAAGCATGTGGTTTACTGCGATTTGCTGT